GGCACTAGCCAAACAAGGGAAGATGGCTTCTAGCCCGGAGTCCTGCCATCACTTGGCAATGGAACTGGCATCTTCGTGGTGCCAGGCATGGCTCGAGATGGCGTGTGTCACCCCTACACTGCTAACACACCCCAGCGGTGCAGAGCTCTCAGACCATGGCTCTGGCTTTGATCTGTGTTAATGATCTGCTGCTGATGGTTCTCTGAGATCTCTCAGCTGCCTTCACACCACTGCTGGTGGGGTTGGCTTGTGGTCTCTTCCAGGGCAGTGAGTCCTTCCAGCATAACTCTGAGTGACCAGAGAGGGCCCTGCTGGGTGAGTCCCCCCAGAGGTACCACAGAACAGGGCCATCCTGCCCCGCCCCCACCCCCCTCCTCTTTACTGCGTAGTTGCATACTTCCTAGCTGGTAGACACACTCACACAGTGTGAACGTGTCTACCAGCCAGGCAGTACGCAACTACACACTGATACACATGATAATAATAAAACGTACTTGACAAAGCCCTGGCCGGGTTGATTTAGTTGGGATTGGTCCTGCCTAGGGCAGGGGGCTGGACTTGATGACCTTCTGAGGTCTCTTCCAGCTCTATGGTTCTATGATTCTACTTAATTAGAAAATACTGGACATTTCTATGTCCAGTATTTTCTCAATTTGTTTCCTGGACAGAAAGTTCAAATACCGGACTGTCCGGTTCAAAACTGGACACGTGGCAACCCTAGCTCGGAAGCAGGCTGTGCTGTGAGCTGGCTTGGTGGCATTTTTGAGGGATATTTAGCTCTTAGCTTTGGTTTTAATGCCCGCACCGGTGTCTTGAGCATAGAGAGAGACTTCAAGTAGCATCAAATGCTATGGAATCCAGCCCCCGCGATGTGTTATGTTTATCATCCTAGCCCCTGCTGAGTACAGGCTGTGCACCTCGTGAGTACAGACCCTGCTCCAAAGCTCCTACACTCTCGGGACACGTCTACACTAGGACATTTTGAAATAACTAAATTGGAAATAATAATTCGCAAAATAACAACATCGAAAGAGCATGTTGCCACTACAGGGGAGCCTCAAAGTTAGCCCAAGGCAGGCTCCGTTATTGTGGGCATGCTACCTCAACTTAGAGCCCCAGGAGGCACTTGGGAGTAATTACTGTCAATGACTCTGGGGAGTCGTTATTTCAAAATAGCAGCAGTGGCACATCCACATTAGTGCTATTTTGAAATAACTATTTTGAAATAAGTGTTATTCCCTGAGGAAAGCAGGAGTACAGATTTTGAAAGAATGGGATTGGTACTGTGGATGGTTTGCTTATTATTTTGAAATAAGGGGGGGTTATTTTGAAATAACTCCCCAGTGTAGACCAGGGATAAATAGGCAAGAGATGGTGGGGAAACTGAGGCACAGAGCAGACACATGCTGGCTAGTGAGGGAACTGGGACTAGAACCTAAATCTCCTGAGCGCCACTGTGTTGCCCCAAACTACTGGACCATGCAAAATTTACTCACCACCTGCCATATGGGGCCATAAAAGCAGCAGCCCACAATCAGCCTTGTCCTTCATTTCTGCTTTAATCTGCTAGCCCTTCAGCACATCCCCAGCTCATCCTGGTACCCTCAGTGCCATCTCCTTGGGAGGGAGTGGCTGCAGCTTGCTCAGTCAGAGAGCCCGGGAGCACTGTCTCTGCCTCCGGGGCTGAGGGATACTGTTCTCCGGAGCCTTGTTGGCTTCTCTCCGGCCTCCCGAACCGAACCGTCCGTCACCCCCACTAGTCAATAGAGGCTGGCTCTGTAGCACAGTGATCTTTTCAATGGGCGCCTCCTGGCAGGGGTCGCAGAGGATGCTGAGGCCCAAGGAAAGTCCCCTGGCTGAGTCCTAGCGGGGGCAGTGTGCCAGGGCCCGCACTGCTGCTGGCCAGGAGGAGATAAGTGAGGGAGGGGGAAGGAAGATGCTTAGCTCTCGATGGGAGGCAGAGGCAAAGCCCGGCTCTCTCTGACCTCACTGCCAAAGGAAACGTAGGCCCTGCCCTCCCGTGGTTCCACTCAATCACCATGGCTTGGCCCAGCGCCGGCTCCTGCAGGCTCTTTTCACACCCCTGTGCAGGCAGAGTGGCATCGGCATGAGCAGCGAGGCCAGAACCGTGGGGTGATGCCGCCATCTCCTGGTGGGCAGCTCCACTCCGTCACTATGCAGGCATTCGGTGCCAGGAGCTGCCACTCTCCAGGCCCCCTGTGCCCTGGTGCAAATGCCTGGGCAAAGGGGGCAGTAGGTCAAGGAGGTGGGGCCCAATCTTGCCAGGGGCTGAGTGCCAGCAGCTCCCAGAATTTGGCCAGAGGCGCTCAGCCCCACTCAGGATCTGGCCCTTCCTCAGTTGCTGTCTTGGGTTTTAGGCCCTGGTTCACTAGTTGGGGAAACCGCCTTGCCTCGGAGAGCTCTGGCCCAGCCCCAGAGGGCTGCTCACGGCTCCTGTGGCCAGGGGTCGCTGTGGCTGTGCTCTGCCAATGTAGAGGGTGCAGAGTCGCAAGCTGAGCCTCCTGTCCACGTGTGAGCCCCCTGGTCGCAGCCCGCCCATGCGGGAGGAGGCCATGAGCCCACGCAGCTGAGGGAGCTGCTCCTTTAGCTCACCTTGGCGAGGCGAGTTTCTAGCACGGCCAGTTGAGGTTCAAAGCCAGGCTGGAGGGATCATTATAGGCCCCAAAGACACAGCTGCTCACACCTCAGCTCAGACATGGCCATGGCGCCCCGGCAACCTGCTTTCCTTCTACCCCTCTGCCACCCCTTCGGCCCTCAACACTGACTCCCCTCTGTCCTGGGCATCAGCTCGTGTTGCTCTCAGTTCCCAATGCTGCCCTGTGGCAGCGAATCGGGGTTCCTCCGATCCTGCAGCCCCGTAGCAGCAAGAACAGACTCCACCCGCCAGTCGAATAGAGAGGGGTTATTGCTTCTCCAGGGTACAGCACAGCATAGACGCGATGCGTCTACAGGAATATGGGCCAGGATGCCTCAGCCCCCTTGAGATGGGGTTCCTGGGCCCCTAGATTCCAGCCCCCTCCTTAGTCTGTTTCCTTCATGGTTTCAGCCCAAGACTCCTCGCTCCCAGACCCTGCCCTAAACCAGGTGTTCATCTCCTCCTCCCTCCCTTTGTCTCTCCCCTGGGGACAGAGCCTTGTTATCAGGTGTCTGGGCTAATACACGTAATGAGTCAGTGGGAATCACACATCACAGCGCAGGGGGACACCGGGTTACAGAGCAGACAGCCCCCCCACTACGTCACATGCCCGCAGGGCTCCGCGGAATGTGCTCCCTGAGCCCAAACGGCCCTCGCCCAACTCCCACGCCCCCAAACAAACCCACAGGCAAGTTCTTGACACTGACATTTTCCATTTTTTGTCAGATGTTCTGCAACATCCAGTCAATGGTTTTATTGTTTTTTCTGAAGCATGTTACTGAGATAGTTTTGGTGGCCAAACACAGTGTCCAGAAAAACCACTCCGCTTTCTTGATGTGAAAAATGTTGAAAAGGCTGCCGAGAAAACGATTCGCAGTGTGGGTGTAGCTGTGTTGGTCCCAGGGTGTTAGAGAGACAAGGTGTGCGATGGTTCCAACAGTCAGTAACTCGTTGGTGGGGGGAGGCCGGTCCAAGGCAAAGGGCAGGAGATGTGCAGCAGTGGGGGGAGGGGAGGGCAGCCGAAGTGCCAGCACTTGATGGCCTCCTGGCTAAACCAGTCAGAATCCCCTGTCAGAGGCTCCAGGATCCCGATCTACTGGCTGGTGAGCACTGCCCCAGTGGGAAGGAGAGCGTTGGCACTACATCAGATTGGCTGGATAAGTGAGCTCAGCTGCCTCTCCCAGGAGGTGGGTTGGTGTCCCTCTCAGAGGGGCTCTCAAATGCCCCCTCCCCACAGATCCCTCCATTGATGCCCCATGTTCACTCAGCACCGCCCACCAATCCCCACCCCAAAACACACACCCCCGATCCACCCGGCCGGTTCACCCTGTCGATAGCAGGCACGACACGATCCCCTTCCAGCAATGGGCACGATGTGCTGTTGGTTCTGGTGTGTCACCTGCCCCAGCCTTTCCCCAGTAATTTCCTTGGCTGCCTGGCTTGTGGATTATCGCTCCCCGCTCCACCAAAATTAGACCATTGAGCAAAGAGCTGTGTGCAAGCAAAGGCCCGGGAGAGGTGTCCGGTGTGGTTAGTCGATCCCATGGTGGCCTGGCGCAGTGCTGCAGCCCGGCAGCTGGCAGTACAAGCTCTCCTCAGAGCGCTCCCTCCCTCCCCACCTGAGGGCCCCTACCCTGACATGGAGGGACTCCCCTTCAGAGGGAACCTATGGCCTGGCTGCTCAGTCTCTGGCCTCTCCACAGGTGTCAGAGGCCTCCAAAAACCAGCAAGAGGCTCCAGGACGGGAGTGACTCAGGGCGGACTCTGTGCTGTGTTTGGGGGAGGCAAAGAGGGACTCCAGGCAGACGTGGCCAGCAGAGGATTCTCCCTGGGGCAGCAGAGGGGTGACTCCCGGCGGGCCTAGAACCAGGAGAGCTGGCCCTCTGTCCCACCATAGGCCACACGCCAGGGAGGGAGAGAGATTGGGGACAGGCAGAGTGGGGTGGAGGCGAGCTCTGCTATGCCAATCCTGCACAGGCCTACGGTCCCTGTGGGGCATAAGTAGGGCTGTGTCCAGACTCAGGGTTTTTTTCCAAAAAAGTAGCCAGAAATTAAATCGAAAGAACGCGGCTTTTCTTTCGACGGTGGTAAACCTCATTTTACGAGGAAGAACGACTTTTTTCAAAAGTGCTCTTTCGAAAAAAAGGCGTTCTTGAATGCAAACAGGGGTTTTTCAAAAGAGAGCATCCAGACTGCCTTTCGAAAAAGTGGCTTGCTTTTTCGAAAGTTCCGCTTGCAGTCTAGACGCTCTTTTTCGAAAGAAGCTTTTTCAAAAGTATCTTTCGAAAAAGCCTCTTTCGAAAGAGGCTTGTAGTCTAGACATAGCCTAGGTGGCCCCACAGCTGCCGAATCAGGGAGCTGTAAATATCTCCCCGGCGGGGCAGCTCTGAGCACTGCTGGAGTGCAGGGAAGGAGTAAGAACTCAGTCGCCGGCGGCCCACCTCATCCCCCAGAGAGCATGGGCATGTCTCGCCCTGAGGGGCGTCACGCAGCAGCCTCCACTAGGGGCCAGCCTCTTGAAGAACGCAGGGAGCCATGTTTCTCTGGCTTGGCTCAGCGTTCCCTTATTTGGCCGACTCTGCCTGCCTGCGGAGGGCTGGCAAGCTCAATGTGACAGCACGACTCCTCACCCCATCCCCCTAAAACTGGGCTAAAAATAAACAGGCTTTATTGAGTTCTTTGGCAAAGAAAACACAAGAGCGAAGCGTTCAGTGACAGGGTGGGGTAGGGGTGGGGTTGGCCCTGGCACAGCGCAGCCCATATCACACGGCGAGCCACTCACGCCGAGCAGCAGATCCAGAGCCCATGGCAATCACCAGGAGTCTTGCCATTGACTGGGTGGGCTTTGGCTCCGGCCCCCAGTGCGCCGTGGCTGCTAGAGCTAATACACAGTGATATGCTGTGGTCACATGGTCACGGCCCAGCCTCGGGGTCAGAACAGGCCTGGAGTAGTGGCCTGGCTCACTCCATAACATCAATAACCAAGGGGGAGAGGTACTCAGAGTGCCGGATCCCCAGGCTGAAGTCTGGAGCCCTCGGCTTGGTGACGGTGATACGGCTGGTCTCGTAGTCAGCTGGCCCCGGCGTAGAGTCCCTTACGGACGTGTGCTTTCTCCACATGCTGTAGGCAGGTTGCCGGTGCAAGTAGACATTCGGTTCAGGCACAGTAAAAGCTGCTGGGCCAGGGCCTCTCGCCAGTAGCGCTGAGTCCACTTTGGAGGCCATGCTGTAGCAGGGAGCAGATGGCTTGATGGGAAGTCCGGGGCCCAGCATCCCGGGGAGGGTATAAGCATTGGCAGCTGGGTTGGGATCGTTCTCCCGGAAACGAGTGCGGTCCGCCAAGGAATAAGCTGGCGCGTTGGGTTCCCCTTGCGGATGCACCATCTCTGGGTGGTATGCATTTGGGGCAGGCATGATCATCAAACCTGGGAACCAAGAGGCGGTTTGGGATGGTTACTGCAGTCGGATTGGATTCTACATACGTCTGATGCTGCCTGTGTGAGGTGTAAGCTGGTGCCCGTTGTGGGGCTATGCCACGGGCTTCTGGCCATGGCAGACCTCACCTCAAACGTGGCTCACATTGCAAAAGAGTTCCTGTCTTACCACAGTGTCTCGGGCCTGGGGAAATGGCGAGGACAGATTGGCACAGCTGCGCACAGGGGACCAGCAGGTAGAAAGGAGGGTGTATTCATAGAGCTGCAGGGTGGGATACTAATAGGGAAGAATATTGTACTTCAGCACTGAGACTCAGCTGGTGTACATCGGTGCAGCTCCATCTATTTCAGTGGCATTAAAGCCATTTACACCAAGAATCATCTAGCTCCAAGGGTTATAAAATCATGAGTGGTGTGGAGAGGGCAGATAAAGAAAAGTTATTTATTAGTTCCCTAAATAGAAGAACTAGAGGACAACAAATGAAGTTAATGGGTAACAGGTTTAAACCTAATAAAAGAAAGTTCTTCTTCACACAGCGTGTAGTCAACCTGTGGAACTCCTTGCCAGAGGAGGCTGTGAAGGCTGGGACTATAATAGAGTTTAAAGAGAAGCCAGATAATTTCATGGAGGTTAGGTCCTTAAAAGGCTATTAGCCAGGGGATAGAAATGGTGTCCCTGGCCTCTGTTTGTCAGAGGCTGGAGAGGGATGGCAGGAGATAAATCGCTTGAACATTGTCTTCGGTCCACCTTCTCTGGGGCCCCTGGTGCTGGCCACTGTCAGCAGACAGGCTACTGGGCTAGATGGACCTTTGGTCTGACCCAGTACGGCCGTTCTTATGTTCTTATGTAAGGGTTTAGCATCACTTGCCTTCACTCTACCAGGCACTGGGCAAAACTCCCACATTTCAATGGCTGAATGACATTGTCAACCAGTTGGTGGCCACGGGGCTTTGTCACATGTGGTCCTACCTGCAGCAGCTCCTGGCCCAGTCTGGACACTGTCTCTCTTTCATCCTGCCATTTCTGACGTAGCCCATCCCCCGCTCCCCATTCCCTCACCCGCACGCTGCCTTGCCAGCTGTTTCCTGCTACCTGATATTACGAACACCTGGGCATGCCACCGGAATGCCGTGCTGCCTGCGGCGTGTCCAGGGGATTCTGTGCAGGGCACATTCCCCGTGGGACTCACACATCCAAAAGCAAGTGTAAGCACCCGGAAGATGATATGCTACAATGCCTCAGCCCACTTCCTGTGTTCCCTGGGGCCCACAAAGGGCTCAGCCCAGCTCCCATTGCTCAGTGGGCGCTCCATCCGTGATACACGTCAAGTATCTCCTCCGATGCTGGCTCACCAAGAAGACACCAGCCTCCCCTTTGTCAATGGAGAGTCATGGCCAAGTGAGTTCCCTCACTACATATCATGGGCAGCCGCCCAGAGAGGTGCTGATCTGGCTGAGGTAGAAGGGAAGGGGCCCATGCTAAGGAGAGGAGGAGGCAGCACCTGAGCCAGCCCTGCTTCCAGCTCACGAAGAGGAGCTGTTCCACAGACACGGATCTGGGCCAGCCATGAGGGTCCAGGCCCTGTCTGGGGGCTCTAGGTAACTGCAGCCTTCCCCAGTAGAGCAGCTGCAGGGCCAGACCCTCGTCTCATTGATGACAATGGGATCCTTGCCCTTGATGGCAATGGGTTTGGTCAGTACAATCCCCACCCGATGCCATTGCAGCCTGAGCCTTGGGGAGACCCCCTGCCCAGGGGGCTTGACAAGGGTCAGCTGGGAGAGACTCTCCAAGCACCTGCAGAGCCAAGAAGCCATCAGGAAGCCAAACGCTCACCCTCCTCATCCATCTCTGCCTTTTCCATGGGCCCCGTCCCCACATGACGCTCCATTGCCTCCTCTCCTCTCACTGGCCTGTCTGCACCACAACAGCTTCATGCCCAGCTGCCTGGCCACAGCCTCAGTGGTTAGAGTGGGGGGGTGGAATTTGAACATGCCACCTTGTGCTCCTGAGGCTGGTGCCCGATGCCCTATCCCCTAGCCCACTGGAGGACCCACTCCACCTCCCTGGCTTTAGCAGGTGCCAAGAACAGCTCCAAACGTGGGGCAGCTGGTGTTGCCTACCTGGCTGCAACCCCAGTAGTTCAGGGGGGGTAGGGTCTCCGGGTTGTTTTGTGATCACCGTTTGGGGTCTGAGACTGTTCTATGGCTTCCCCGTTGTCTCTTTGACTGGGATTCCAAGAAGCCTTGGCCATGGGCAAGCAACGTAGAGCAATCAAGGGTCACCAGCCTGGAGGGCCTTCTACTGAAAGGCAAGCACCTTGGACAGGGAGCCAGCTACCGCCCAGAGAAACCCAGCCAGAGTGAGGATGGTCACCAGACACAGGACACTGCACATTTCTAGACGGAAGCTGTTCACGGGAGAGAGACGTGCAGTGATGGCTGAGCAGGAGGAGTGGGGTGCACAACTGCAGGAAGTTCTTGGGACCTCTGAAAGTGTGGCCCAAGACCCACCGTGCTCTCAGAGCGGTGAGGACGTCGGGAAGAGAGATTTGCATGCAGGTATGTGTTCGTTTTGCACGGATCTGTGTAACTCGTGTTTTTTCTATGAGGAAAGTGTGTGTGTGGGGGGGGAACAATTGGCCAGCACATGCCTGGCTCTGGTGGGAGCACGCAGCCGCTACTGGGGAGCTAATTTCAATACTCAGGTAATTGGCCCATGGAGTGTGCACTGGGGGTGTTTGCCGGCAGGCCCACAAACTGCCTAAATTCTGCCCAGTCCCAACACGCCCAGGGCCTGTGCCCTCCCCGGGTGGGGTCCAGTACCGCAGACTGGGGAGCCTCCAGCAGGGGAAATCACCAGGGTTGCATCGCTCCCTGGGAGCTCCCAAGGAAAGCACTTCCCACAGGCCACCACCTGGCTGGCCTCTGACCAGTCTGCCCCTCTGGGACAGCTGTGGTGAGAGAGTCCACTGGCTCCCGGCTGCGGGGCTCTGTCTGCTCCCTTCTCCCACACAACAGCGTGCCGGGAACAGAAGGGCTCCCAGGCCTGGACCTGCACAAACCATCCGGGGCTGTTTGTTTCCTCACCCCCTTGCGGGCCCTGGGTCGCAGAACTCTTTAGCGAAGAAGCTAAACTAGCAGCCTGCGTAGCTCATGCCCCGGGCCCTCCTGCTGCAGAGAAATCAGGTCAATAGCTGTGCTGGCCGCTGCAGCTTTTCTGCTCAGCATCCTCCCTGGCTGCCTCTTGGCTAAGGACCAGAGCAGGTATGGCCGGGGTCCTGCTGGGACGCTCTCACTAAGGGTATCAGCATCTCCCCTCGCCCCTCGGGCCATTCTCCTCGGGAACCTTTTGCTTTCATCTTCATCCTTCAAAGCCCTTCTGCACACAGCCACTACTTCTGTTCACTGCCCACAGGCACCCCAGGGGACTGGTTTCCTCTCTTTCTCCCTGATTGCCCTGCTTCCCATAGGAGCTCACCGGGTCTTCATGCCTCATTGCCTCTTCCAGCAAGAGCCGTGTTTTCTCCTGAGGAACAGTTCCACTCGCCCGGGGCCCCTTTGGCTCGCGGCTCGCGTGCCCGGCTTGCTCCCGATCACCTCAGCTCAAGCCGTGGAAGGAGCGGGTCTAAGCAAGGCCCATAGTTGGCTCTGAGGGCTGGATTCTGCACCGGAGAGACTCGACTCTGTCTGCCGGCCGGCGGTGCCAAGTGAACGGCTCAGACACATTTGTGCACCCTGCCTAAACCAGGCATCCCAGCCCTGCAGTGCTAACCTTTCAGAGGCTCACCGCATGAAAGGCACAGGCCAGATGAGTCAGACCATCAACCCCCAAACAGGCAGGCTGGATGGACACAGCAGGTCACGTCACGGGTCACACAACAGAGCTGCAAGCACATCACCAAGTGCAATGACAGCACAACCGTCACGCCTTTGAAGAACCTTCAGCGCTGGCATCCGCTCCTCCCGCGCAGCTGGGCAGGGGCAGAAGATGGCCCATGGGACACCAGACTGAACGGGAAGGAGGATTATGTGCCCAGCAGAAGGAGTGGTCAGAGCCCCACAGAAGCTCCCCGAGAAAGCTACCAGTTCTTTACTAGGTCCAAGCTGTTCCCTGCTTGGTTTGCATGTTGTTATTAGCCACGTATACAGCTTTGTAGGCATGGGAGGATCTCACGGAAATGTGGCAATCAAATGGCAGCTCCTGCCCAAACAATGTATAGTCTAGAAAGGCAGGGACTGGGGGGATGAGGTGGAGACGGATTCTGAGGTGAAGGACCAGACGAGGTCTGTTCAGGCCAAGCCCAGGAGGTAACCAGAGGGCTGTCCAGAAGGGTAATGCAGAGGCCAGCAGAGTACAGTGATGGAGCTGAGAATGCAGGTGGATGGAGCCAAGAAAGAAGCAGCGTCTGAGCAATTGCCTCCCCTATACTTCTGTTCAGTGCCCACCAGCTGCCACCTCCCAACCCGCCCTCCTCAGATGGATGCCTAGAATGCCACATGGGGCAAATCTGCCTGCAGCCCCGGGCATGTTTGTGTCTGGCAAGGCCAGCATGTATGTCCGCTCAGGACTTGCTGTGCCCAGCAGGAGCCTGCTGTTCCCCTGGAGGGAATGCCAATCAAGCCATGAGGTAATCTGGCTTCCTCTTCGCAGGGCTACGCCCAGGGAACTAGCTATGCCCTCATGGACTGTGTGGTTTCTGTGAGGAGCTGGAAATGAGATCATCTGGAACAGCAGGCTGTATTCAGACAGGAGCCTTGGCTTGGACTCATACTCACAGGCATCCTTCAACTGCCCAGTCGTAAGCTGTGGTGGTCTTTTCCCTGTGCCTCTGGGCCCCTGAGTTAGAGGCCTCTTGGCTGTCGCTCTTGGGATATCTTCCCCCAGATTTGGGCTTTGGCCCAATGGATAGTGGACTCTGTCAGTGCTGGTACAGAGGCGGTCACAAACTGCATGCAGGCAAGCTCGTCTGCCAGAAAAGCAACCCCACACCAATGCCCAGTTCCCAGGCAATAACTGCCACAGGAATTGACTAATCAGGGTGCAATTTCTCCTGCTGCTCACTTGGCTCCCTCCCCAGAAGCTGCCCCCCCCCCCCCCTCACCCAAAACTAACACCACACAGCATGGCTGCACAAGACCAAATGTTTGCTTACACGCTAAAAAATAAAGAACTTGGAAGCCAGATACCGCAACATTATCATGCCTATTTAAGCGAGGGAACTGAGCGACCAAGGTGATGTGTGACTGGGCCACATGCACTCAGAAGGTCTCTGATAGAGTCAGGAATTTAACCCATCTCCCAGCGCCTAATCTTGTGCCTCTTCGTAGAATCATAGAATTCTAGGGCCGGAAGAGACCTCAGGAGTCTCGTTTCCTTCAGATCAGCCTGTCTCCTTCATGTGGGTGCAAATATTTGAAGACGTAGGCATCGTCGGCCATGCTTTGGGTTGCGGGACAGCCAGTTCTCATGCTCAGGGATCTCATGTCCCTCTCCCCATAGCTATTATAACAGACAATCCACTATGGCGATGTAAGACAGCACCACTAAACTGCTCGATGGCTTTGTAATTCCTGGTTGCTTATCTTTAATTCCAGAGCTAATCTCCAAAGTTCTGAATGATTAAACTAAAGCCTCTTGGATTCCCTGCCATTATTCCACGTGGTTTGCACTGGCGTCACTGTATATTCATTCAGGCAGACACATACGTGGCCTCTCCAAGTCCCCCAGCTTTAAGAAGATGCGGTGTTCTGGGTCTTTCGAGCTACCCAAAATGGCCTTGATGCTCTCCCTTCCCATTCTTCTGCTTAAAGCAAACCCTAGAGATATTTGCACATCTGTCCAGCTGGCTTCTAATGGCTAGACAGAGCCACAGTGCTTCCCATCACCTGCTCCAAGGCAGGGAACACAGCTGGATACAGCCAATAAAATTCCAGATGTGGCTTCTGTCAATAAGCCACATGTCTTTGCGGGGGTGGGAGTAGGAGCAGACTCCATCTCTCTGCCTCCAACGTGAGTTGAAATAACATATGTGCAGCCTGTAAGCTCCTTTGGCAGGGACCCCCTGATGGTTCTGTGTATGTTCAGCACCTAGCATAATGGGGCGCTGGTCTATGACTGGGGCTTTGCCAGTTTACCTTTTTGATGGCAAATTCCTGTGATGGGGAATCTGCTGCTGTAGAGCTCCTGGTGCTAGTTGTCTGCCAGGGTGAGTCTGGTATGCCTGGACAGTGGTTGGAGGACGTGCATCTGTAGGAACTTTCCCAGTGTCCTTTTTTACCTCCCATTAAATACATTTTTCACCGTACCTCTTGATTCCCAGAGAGGACGTGGCGGTCACATGGGGGAAGCGGAATTTGCCCTCTCTGAACCACATTAAAAAAACATGCGCAGGGTCTGATCCGAAGCCAACTGAAGTCCATGGGGCTCTTTGCACTGGCCAGAAAGGGCTGCACATCAGCCCTGGTTTCTCCAAGAGGAGAGGGTCAAGGTCTCTCCCACTCAGCCCGGGCATGATGGCACAAGGTGAATTAGGGGCATGGAGGTCAGCCGCTGGCAGCTCTGCTTAGAACAGGGGGATGGACCAACAGCTTTGGCAACACCTGTGGCACCTGCCCTCCGGTGGCCCAGCTGTCAGCTGCTGTCCTCCCCAATATCTTCGCTACCGTACCTCAGGGCTAAGCTAACACTGTTGCGCTTCCAGTCTGGTGTTGCCTGCCACTCTACCAAGGTACCTCCCTCCGATCTGGACATTGGGCCGTCCCTGAGCAGCCCTGCAGGGAGGCAAGTCAGCTCCTGGACGCACTGACAGGTTGTGGTGGGATCGTGCTGGAACACATGCCCTCTAAGGACTAGACTGAGACATCGACTCCCTGCAGGTGCAGCCAAGGTAGAGTTGAACCCGTGTCTGCAGAGAAGACAGGCTACTGCATTCACACATTGCAACAGCAGGGCCCCTGAAGGACTAATTACCTTCTGCCTCCTTCCTCCTTGTGTGTAGCAAGGCCCGGCAGAAGCCATCGAAATTCCAGCTAGGCTAGGAGACGCAGGCTCAGCTTCTCTGCTGGTGTAATCCAGTGGAGCTCCAGTGTGGAGCTGGGCCAATGCACACTCTCAAAGGAGTGCGCCCGGAGAGAATCCGAATTGGTATAACACCAGTGAGGTCACCAGGGCCGGCTATGAATCAGGCCTGCTTGGATTCAGTATGTTAGTTATTTTTTGCAAAGGCACCGAGAGGGCTTGTGCTATGGATGTGCCCAGAAGTTAGGAAGAAGTGGCTCCTCCGGGTGTGAGTGTTTGGGATAGTAGGTCTGTGCATGCTGCCTTCCAGGGCTGGGGGAGGGGGGGTGGCACAGCCATGGCTTTGTAGGGCCAGGCAGGGTATCTGTGTCCTCACCTGCTTTAAGAAGGAAGCGGCCCCTGCCTGTTATCAGCTGCTAGGTGGAGCAGAGGCTGGTTCTGGGTCGAGCCACGTCCCACTGAACGGAGCCCTTCTTAGGGTGAGGGTGTGCGCCTGATTCATGAAACATGCGGCAAGAGCCGACCAGCCATGCTCCAGCTACTCACCTAGACTCTTCTCCCGGTTCTCCATGCGGAAGGACGGTGGTGTCCACCACCCAAAGCGGGAGAGGTGAGGGTCTACGAAGTAGGCATCGGGACTGACAGTGTCAGCCAACACTGCAAGAGAAAAGAGAAGACTCCGGTTCAGGGAGCCTCAGCTCACAAGCTGCAGCTGAGAGACCTGACCGGCCGTTCGCCATCTTTCACTGGCTCAGCTTCCGTGGTCCCTCTCACTTCCCCGAGAGCCCTTGCAACTGGGGTTCATGCTAAGACAGGGGCTGGCTATGTGACTTCACACGGCCGATTTCACCGCTGACCGGGACAGCAGACCAGCAATGGGCTGATGCAGGGCCCATGGGCTGGTAGCGCCACATGACCACTCCTGCACTTGGCCACCATTTGCCTAGGAGGCCTCCAAGACAATGCACTACTTCCATAGCGACAGTAGCACATGCCATTTACCTGTAACCAGGTGTAGGTTAGGTACCCCATCCAAGGACACCTGGGATGAAGCCCCTCCACATACCGGTGAGGTGCTCAGTCCTCAGGCCTGCGAGGCTAAGTCAGGTTGCCTTTTCCTCCCACTATAGGGAGGCAGCGTTCCAGACTCCCTGGGGATTTTGTATTGTAGGGCACTATGGGCCAGGTGTTCAGCGGGCGTGAATCACCGATGTCAGTGGAATGACACCAGTTCACGCCAGCTGAGGGTGTCTCCCCCATTCGGGAGTGCTCACTTTTCTCCGAGTGTTTGATTCGCATCGTGTAGGCGGGTTCAGCAAACATGGTGAAGTCGTGGTTCCTGATGCCAGTGCAAGGCTGCCGGCCATATTTCCCAGACCCTGGCCCTGGAACGCAAACAGCGAGGTCAATGCAGAGTGTTAATGTAAGGAGAGGAATGAGCCAGCCACCCTTTAGCTTATTGAGTTAAGCTCCAACCAGAAGAGAGTCGGTCCCTAAGCTTCCTGGGATGCTCCTTTCTGCTCCTGCCCATGTATCGTCACAGTCCAAGATAAGGAAGTGATCTCGGGACTAGTGTCCCTTAACAAGGTCTCTAGCCCCCTGCTCCAAACCCCATTCTTCAGGGCTTAACAGAGAGTGACCATCCTCTAATGAGAAAGTCTTTAGTCGCCCACCAGCCTGGTAGCAACCTATTCCCTGGCATGGGATATAATTATGGAGTTACCAGATGTGAAGGTTTACCCTGAATGAGATTTCTAGCCCCTGCTCTCCAGGACACCATGATGTGGGTGTTTCCATCCCTAGTGGAGGGACCTACCTCACCCCCATCATCACTCCAGCGTGCAGAGGTGTTCATGTGACCGCAAAGGTGACTGTGCTGGAAGGTCATGGCTTTCTAACTGCTCCATCCTGGAAAGCAGCTCTTTGTAAAAGAAAGATTCCAGGATAGACCCCCCCCCCCCGAACCGCAACACTCCAAGCTCAGTTGCTTGGCTGTCCACTATGGGCTACCAGCAGGTTCCTAGCAGTTCTAAGGTCCATCCTTTGAGATTAACAAGAAGGTCTCCAGCCCTTCTATTTCCTACCCTTCCTGGCTGGTTCGAATGTGATTCCTGCAGATTTTGCACAAGCCATAGTGATAACCCAACGTAACAAATGCTTTGTCAGCCCGATGAGCCATTGGCATCCCACTAAAGACAGGCACGCCCTCGCAATGCTGGTTCCCTGTGGACTCTGACCAGGGGTAACCCATCTCTACACATATGTGCTTCTCCACTAGTCCCGCTTCCACCCTCAGATCTGGCTGTATTTCTATTTACAGCAAACCCATCTCTAAAATGCTCCCCTGCCTGCCGTAGCCTGGGAAGTGCTAACTATTATTTAATTACTATTAGCATCAACAGCAGCATCTCTCCATCCATCTGCCATCTTGAGATACTAGGAAATCCCCATTGATTCTAGGTACATGTCTGTCTATTTCTCTGCCCATCCCCATAGCATCAGGGGATGCTTTCACTCCAGCTGGAGTAAAGCAGGGCCAGGCAGGCTGTATCTTCCTGGGCCTGGTTTGGGATGTGGTTCCCCAGGTAAGACGTTCACTCACCCTTGATTTTGGCAGTGATTGGTGGGTACTGCTTGGCTCCCCCCGGTGCCGGGGCTGAGGTTCTGTAGCTGCTAGGGCCGTAATTGCCAGCTTGGCTAGGGCCTCTAGACTTAGACATCTCCCTTGGGGGGCCACCGCGAGCTGCCTTTATAGCTTCCATCGACAGCTGTCGCCCTGGAAACACGCACCAAGAAAACACTAAGTAAATAAATAGCACTCTGAGCGTGGCGTCTGGATCACGGGACCGGGGCCGGGATGGACCACAGGGCCGCGGGGACAAAGTCAAAGCAGCTGTTGGCAAAACGTGCGTGGGGGAAAGACGTGCTCTTTGTGAACGGCCAGCGGTGCCTCGCGCTGCTGCTGCTGCAGCTGAGTCAGGGCTAAAAGCGCAATTTAAAAAAATAAACCCCAAAAGCGCCCGGATCCTCCTCAGACTTGCCTCCGACTTCTTTTTTTGGTGTGTAAATAGCAGCCCCTGCTCCGAGGAGCCCTGTGGTTGCCAAGGGGATGATGTAAGTGCGGAATCTGAAAGGTCTGTTTATTTCCACATTGCCATGGTGCTGGTAGAATGTTATGGAGGGATGACAGAGGGGCCTGGCTAGCCCCCGATGTGGTGGGCATTAGCTCTGCATAGTGACCACTAAGGAGGAGAAAGCCACAGGCAATTGCTGAGGCCCGGTCCAGGCAGGCGCCAAAGGATGCTCCTGTTACCTACCGTTGCTGCTTTTGTACAAGGGAGATTCAGTAAAAACCAAAAAAACTTTTATGAGCGCCGCAGCCCAGGATGTTATCACGGAATAATGCCCAGTCTGTGAAAACCACACGAGCGCTCATCGAAAGGAACTGGCTGCTGATGTGGCCAGGCTGCTCTCAAAAGAGTTTGCTATGGCCCTCGACCGGCTCTGCCACTGATCGGCTGTGGCGTTGGGCACGTCACTTCTCCATTCTCAGCCTGTTTCCCTCACTCCCCTTCCCTGTGCTTCCTGTTTCGATGGACTGTCTCTCAGTGCATACGCACAGTGCCTGCCGCAATGGGCTCTCGGTCTCGGCTGGGCCTTCTAGGCGCAATTAGTGTGAACAATTAATAATCCTGGCCTGGCCTTGTGCTTTGAATGAAACAGGGAGGGGGTTCTTCACAGTGCCACTGTGTGGATCTGACCCTGGGCAAATCAGTTCATTGCCCCGTGCCTCAGTTTACCCATCTGTAAGAGAGGGCTTATAACACTTCCCTGCCTTTGTAAAGGGTTTTGAGGGTCTCCACTAACACAAGGACACAAATGACACTAAAACCACACATTATGTCAACCTCTGGGCCAACCCTTCACCCTTTTCAAGAGTAAGTCTTGCAAAAGCAAAGAGATTACAGGGGAATTTTGATATACCCCCCCAAGGACATAACTATGTCTTATCCAGCTGGGAAGTGGCAGAACTGCTTGCTCTCCCTGTGCTGAGCAAACCCTTTGAGAGCACCACCTGTGTATCTGCTGCAGTCCCCGTGCTGCTTCTGTCGTGTTGGCATGGTTATCAATTCGTAGAGTACTCTGCAAGGGTAGGCCAGCAAGTCTGGAATTTCTTCTGTGAGAGAAGAATGTGCATTCCCTAAAACCAAGGGTGCCATTTATGGAAGGCTGGGGGGAAGAGGGGCAGTAGCCACCCCCTTCTCCCCAGAGATTGGAATGTATAGGCAGCAGATTTAAAACAAACATAATACATTATTTTTTCAAAGTCAGCCTGTGAGACTGTTTGCCAGGAGCTGGTGGAAAGGCCCAAACTGTAATAGGGTTCCAATAAGAACAAAATGGCTGCATCTAGACTGGCATGATTTTGCGCAAAAGTGGCTGCTTTTGCACAAGATCTTGCCGCCTGTCTACACTGGCCGCGAGTATTTGCGCAAGAACACTGACGTTGTAATGTACAAAATCAGTGATTCTTGCGCAAATACTCTGATGCTCCCGCTCAGGGATAAGCCCTCTTGCACAAGTATTCTTGCACAAGAGGGCCGGTGTAGACAGCAACGTTAATTTCTTGCGCAAGAAAACCCTATGGCTAAAATGGCCATCGGCGCTTTCTTGCGCAAGAGAGCGTCTACACTGGCACGGATGCTTTTGCACAAAAGCACATCTCTTGCGCAAAGGCATATGCCAGTATAGACGCTCTCGTGCGCAAATACTTTTAATGGAAAAACTTTTCCGTTAAAAGTATTTGCACAAAATCATGCCAGTTTAGACGCAGCCAATAAGTTCAAGGAAGATACGTCCATCAATGGCCACCTGCCAGAGTGGGCAGGGATTGTGTCCCTAGCTTCTATTTGCCACAAGCTGGGAATGGGCAACGGGATGGATCATGATGATTGCCTCTTCTGTTTATTCCTTCGGAAGCACCTGGCATTGCCCACTGCTGGCAGACAGGCTACAGGGCTAGAAGGACCACTGGTCTGACCCAGCATGGCCATTCTGATGTACTTATACAGAGCCCAAATGTATCTGCCCCCTGTTGTAACCCACCAGACCCTACTCCCCCTCCAGAGCTCAGAGCGAGGCCGGGAGTCCTGATGGGGTCTCTCTCTCACTCTACAGAGTTAGTAACAAAGGAGAAATACACATTAAGGCTAACTGCTAAGTTGTCTGCCAAAAAAAGCAGAGTTTTCCAGTGCCTTAGTAGCCCCTGGATAGAGGCAATGTGTATGGGGGAAGGGCGGAGGCGGTTGGTTTCTCTCCCCCGATTTGGTGCTTGCCTTGTATTGAGCATGCGCAGTAATACTGCTGATGCCTCTGTCCTCAGTCCGCCCCCTCCCGTGCTCTCACTCTCTTCTCCCTCCCCCCCCACCATCACGGCATACACAGGTCCCTACCTCCCCCCCTCAACATCTGAAATGGTGCCCCTGCCTAAAACCTGCCAAGGAGGTTTTGTTGCGGAGAGATTCAGTCCCGCCCTCAAAGGGTGACTGGCAGAGCTGCGAGGCCCCAAATTGGTAGTTCTCAGTTGACAGGGAAGCGCTGCTTCTCGCAGGCTTGGCGCACTGCGGTTAGCTCTCCGCCACATCAGTCCAGATGTTGTCTATGAAGAAAAACAAACCCACAGCCATCCTCCTAGCCTCCCAAGAGAACCCAACCCTCTGGCCATTCCCAGCCCTTCTCCTGAGTTTACATTACAGCAGGCTGCAAGACTGTAATAAATACACCGGGGAGGGGGAGTGCGGGACTTGAACACGGGCTGAAAGAGAGGGGTTGGGATGGAGGCGGCATTGGCACATTGCCACAAAAGCTGCGTCTCTCTGTGGAAGAGCCCATCAAAAGGCAGCAATTTGGCCCATGCCTCAAAATCCTTCCTTTCCTTTATTTCGTGTGCTACAAAGACGGGCCAGTGCAGAATAATGCAAAGGGGTGTGTGGCAGGAGAGAGAGCCACCTTTTAACTTTTGTCTGTTTTGTGTCCACCTGTTGTTTCCCATCTTATTCTCTGAAGCAGGAATCCCTTTTGCTTGCTGTGTGCACAGCACTGCCCCACTGAACCACTGCTATGCAAATGATCAGTGATCATCATAATGACCCAACATCTAACCGGGGTGGGGAACCTAAGGCCTGGAGGCTGGATGTGGCCCCTGGCTTGCCTAGCTCTGGCCCCCAAAGCTCAAGGCTCCCACGCCAGCTTTGGGCAGCCCTCCACCCCCTCCACCATGGGGCTGGAGCACACAAAATCTACCAGCCTGGGCCCCCTTATGCTCTGGTGTCCAAGGGTAATGTGGGAAAAGTTTTTCGTCTCCTCAGTCGGAGGCTTACTCGGTGAGAGGGGTTTGTTGCTGTTGTTTTGTTTTTTGCTTCTCCCGACTGGGTTTTCTATGGGTCAGCGGCCCCTGACACGAAAAAGGTTCCTCGCCCCTTCTAAGCTGTTAGTGAAAAAGGCTCTCAAAGGCTCTCCCCATCCTCCTGGACATTTAAGACATGCCAGGGAGTGGGATCAGGAAGGGAACCCTGGATGAGGCTCCAGCAGTAATATTCAACTCTTGGGAGATGTCAAATGCCTCCCTTCTTCACAGTCATTTAGGGGAAAACGTGACACAGAAATTCAGTGAAGGTTGCTAACCAACGTGCAGCATCGCCAACACAAGCACGAGGAAACAAGGAACCGAAAATGTAAGACATCAGCAATCCCCGGGGCCTCTGGAAACCCACTAATAATGGGGCTTAGCAACATAGCTCTGAAAAGCAAAGACTGAGACCCTCTCCGTTCACAGTCCCACCCCTCCGCATTTTGTGCCAGGCGAGTGTCTAGCACTTCGTACTGCTGTGCACTTTCCCCGCGCTCTGGCTGGTGGGTCTTGCCCATATCCTCATGGTCTAACTGATCATCATATTTGACATCCAGAAGGAATTTTCTCTTGGTCAGACTGTCAGGGACCCTGAGGGGTGGGGATCACCTTCCTTTGCAGTATGGGGCATGGGTCATTTGCAGATTTAAATCAGTGTAAATGGTGGAGTTTCTGTGAAGTCTCACTGGGGTGGGGAACCTAAGGCCTGGGGGCTGGATGTGGCCTCCGGCTTGCCTAGCTCTGGCTCCCAAAGCTCTGGCTCTGGCCCCAAAGACTTTAAATCATGATTCAAAGCTAAAGGTTAGGGGGTCTATTAAGAAGGGAGTAGGTGGGTGAGGTTCTGGGGCCTACAAGGTCAGACTAGAAATATGATCACAATGGGCCCTTCTGGCTTTACAGCTTATGAGTCTATGCAAGGAGCAGCACAACAAATCATCCCAGATTATAGGTAAATTGTAACCTTAACTCTGACCATTGGAGGCTGTCTGCAGCTGTAACTGAGATGTGTTCCCATCCACTTATCCAGCCTTTGTTTAGTTAGCTTTTAGCTTTCAGCACTCACTGGCTGTGTCTAGACTGGCCAGTTTTTCCGGAAAATCATCCGCTTTTCCGGAAAAACTTGCCAGCTGTCTATACTAGCCGCTTGAATTTCCTCAAAAGCACTGACTTCCTACTGTAAGAAACCAGTGCTTCTCGCAGAAATACTATGCTGCTCCCATTCAGGCAAAAGTCCCTTTTGTTCAAAGTTTTTGCGCAAAAGGGCCAGTGTAGACAGCTCAGATTTGTTTTCCGCAAAAAAGCCCCAATCGCGAAAATGGCGATCGGGGCTTTTTTGCGGAAAAGCGCGTCTAGATTGGCACGGACACTTTTCCGCAAAAAGTGCTTTTGTGGAAAAGTGTCCGCTCTGTTCCGGAAATGCTTTTAACGGAAAACTTTTCTGTTAAAAGCATTTCCGGAAAATCATGCCAATCTAGACGCAGCCACTTAGTGTAAGTCATTGCATTGATCTACTACTCTAGAATCTGCTGTTTGAATTGCAGCCACTACCTGCCATGAGACAACCCAAGCAAGTTCCATCCCGTGAACATGGTGAGTTCATTTAGCTAGCAAACAACAAAAGTTCCAGTGTGCAAGTTTCTCTTTATTACAAACACTCACATGCTACATAGCCCGGCAAATAAACACACACACACACACCCC